TACAGGCATGCGCCACTGCACAGGCCTCATTGTTGGTAATTTGGCATTTCCTAATATTAATGATATGGTGAACATCTTTTTATATGCTTATTTGCTACCCTATCTCTTCTTTTATGAAGTGTCTATTAAGATCTTTTGTCCCTTTTTTAATTGGTTGTTGAATTTTGAGAATTCTTTATATATACTCTGTATACAAGTCAATGGTTTCTATTTTAAACTGTGTGTTTTTCTAATTTCTGCCCTCTTTTTTCTCATTTGCCTTTTCTCATCTATGCTATCAGTAAGGGATGCTTTTTATCAACAGTTACTTCTGATTGCTGTGACCGCTGTTCACCACCCCTTTCTTCTCTCCTTTTCTCTTTTCTTGTTTGATTTTAGTTGGCACGTCCATATATATCATTCATTCATTCATCTAGCAAATAGTTGTTGAGCATCTCATGTTTCAGCTGACCTTTTTTGAATTTGCCAGCAAACCCAAGTGCTTCGTCAGGTTTGAGATCTGTTCAGTTACATTATATGTCATCTTAGAATTGCCAGCTAATTTTTGGTCATTTCTGGATGTTGCTTCTTTATTATCAAAAATGTTTTGAGGGTTTTCCTCTTTTTCGACCACTCAGCCAAGCTCTTGAGATCTGGAAGCCTGAGGGTTGAAGAAGACTGGTTTTGACGTAGTTAAGGTTTCTCTCTAGTTAGATTTAGTGTGATGAATGGACAGCTACAAAGATTACATATAACAGAGATCATCATTCACCATCTTGTAACCTGTTTCAGTTTTCTCTAATCTTTTCCATTCTAATCCTTTCCTCTGCTTTGAGAAGCAGACCCTGGTAGCAGAACTTGTTTTTATTTATCCACAGGGGGCTTCCTTTGCCTTTGCACACATTTGCTAATGAACCAGAAGAATGTTTTCCTCTGTGTAAAAGTTGGATAGAGTTCTGTGGAGCTTCATTTCTACTCTTCACTGGAATGCTGTATAGAAATGTTCTTGTGGCATTTTACTGGGAAGTATGAAAAACACGCTCTTATGACATTTCAAAGAGGGTTGAAATTTATTCTGCAATGTTACACTGTAGAGTCTAGAAAGGTTTGAACAAAACAGATGATTTCTTTCATTTTAAAATTCATTTTTATAATTACACTCATTTATACAATATATATATAGTCTTTAACATCTGTATAAATAAAATATATTCAGTATGAACATTTTTAGTTTTTTAAAATTATGAGAGCAACTGATTCTGAAGTATCCCTTTAAATTGAAGATTTGCTTCCTAATTTTTTACTAAAATTTGGAGTTTAGTATAGTGCTTTTTTCTTTTTTTCAATTTTTACTTTTAATTATTATGGATACATAATAGTTATACATATTTATAAGATAGATATGATATTTTGATACCAGTATAAAATGTATAATGATCAAATCAGTGTGATTGGGTATCCGTCACCTCAAGCATTTAACATTTCTTTTGTGTTTTTTTTCTTAAAGGGAAATATAATTTTCTTTCCTATGTACCTGTTGTTTCTATGTACCTGTCTCCTCTGCCCCTAAATCCTCCTTTTTTCCTCCTTGATTCCCTCTTTTCTTTCTTGTCTACCCTCTCCTTCTCTTCCTCTCGCTTCCTCCCTTATTTCCACCCTTCACTATATTTCCCTCCATGGAATAAAGTGAAAACCATGGATTTAATCGTCCATGGTTTTTCTTAAATTTAATCGTCACCAACATTTTGATGTTCCAATTTCTTATTTATACCTGTTAGATATACCATAATTTATTTAACTATGCCCAGTCCTAGACATATTGATTGTAAAAAACTAGCCTGTTTATTTTGAAATAACTATTGATTGGCATTCAGTTATAAGAAGTAATACAGAGAGCCCAAGTACCTTACCCAATTTCCCCAATGGCAATATCTTGCAAAACTATACAATAATAACACAACCAGGATATTGACACTGATAAGGTCAGAATATAAAAAATTTCCACCACCAGAGGGATACCTCCTGTTACCCTTTTATGGCCACACCCACCTCTCTCACCCCCTGTCACCACCCCATCCCTGACTTCTGGCAAGCACTAGTCTGTTCTCCATTCCTATAATTTTGTCATTTCAGGAATGTTGTATAAATAGAACTATACAATATGTAACCTTTGGAACTGGCTTTTTTTCACTCAGCATAATTCCTCAAGATTCCTATAATTGGTTGTGTGTATCAATAGCTTGTTCCTTTTTATTGCTGAGTAGTAGTCCTTGGCGCAGATGTACCCAGTTTGTTAACCATTTACCTGTTGAAGGATTTCTGGGTTATTTCCAGCTTTTTGCTGGAAATAACATTTATGGCCAGGTTTTTGAATGACCATGGAGTTTTACTTCTCTGCAATAGATGTCAAGAGTCCAATTGCTGTTGTGGTTACCTGTATGTTTAGTTCTTTAAGAAACTGCTCAAGTGTTTTCCCGATGAGCTATACTGTTTTACATTTTTCCCATGATGTCTGAGTACAGTTTCTCTTCATTCTTGCCAGCATTTGATGTTGTTGCTATTTTTAAAATTTTACCATTCCGATAACTATGTAGTACTAACTCATTATGGTTTCCATTTGCACATCCCTAATGGCTAATGACGTTAAACATCTTTTTTGTGCCAGTTGCCATCTGTATATCCTCTTTGGTGAAAAGTCTCTTCATGTCTCTTGCCCATTTCCTAATTGGATTATTTTTTATACTATTAAGTTTTGAGAGTTTTTTTCCCACATATATTCTAGATATCAGTCTTTTGTTACATATGTGGCTTGCAGTATTATCTCCCAGTCTGTAGTTTGCCTTTTCATCCTGTTAACAGGATCTTTTGGAGAGTGAAAGTTTTGTATCTTTATGAAGTCCAATTTTTCAGTTGTTCTTTTGTCAAGTCTAAAAACTTTTTGCCCTGCCCTAGATCCTTAAATGTTTCTCCTGTTTTTTCCTAAAAGTCTTATAGTTTTATGTTTCAAGTCCATGATTCATTCTGAGCTAATTTTTATAAGGTGAATGATTTTCTTCCAAAGATTTTTCCCATATATTACTACTCTTAATAGATACTTAGTTCATTTTTATATGACTAGTAGTTTTAAGATGCAGTAACTAATTGAATAATCTTATTGGTCTTCATCTGGGGTCTTAGTTCTTTCAATGTCCCTTTAGTATTAAAAAAGTGTCAAATTAATAAATAAAAGGAATCAATGGCTCGTGTTTGTGATAAAGGATATATGGTTGGCTATGGCTCCAAGGTAATGAATCAGTTCAATAGTTATTTACTGAGTGCCTACTATATTCTGGGCCCTAATATGGGCATTGACATATGACCTGTCTCCTTGAGAGCTAACAGTGCAAGGAGGAGTTGAGAGACAAAGCCATTCATTTCGATGGACTGTGTTGAGTGTTGGGAGTCAGTTCAGTATGATGGCGAAGAACCCGTCTTACTGGGTTCTTCACCTGGATTCATTCACCTTCATTCTGAATTCCATCAACTTGGGTTGAAGTCCTGGCTCTCCCACCTGCCATCTGGGTAAGGCAACCTCACTAGTCCTTAATTTCCTTATTAATCTGTACATTATATGTTTGTCATGAAGATTGGGTAACACATGTAAAGCTCTTGGCCTAAGTGCCTAGCACAGAGTAAGCACTCAATAAATATTTGCTGCCGTGGTGGTGGTAGAGATGGAGGTGGAGGTAGTTGGGAGGAGAGGAGATACTGATCAATGCAGGCAAAAGACATTGCTATAGTACAAAGAGGGGCACTTATCCCAGAGAAGAATACTCCTGGACTGAATCTTAAAGAATGACAGAGTTTCTGAGAAAAAGAAAGAACATGAACAAAGGTACAGAAGCAGGAAAAGTTGTGAGTGTATGTGGTACGGCACAGCAATCTGGTATTAATAGGACTTGATGTAGGAGTTGGAAAGTGATAGGCATAGATGAGGCTGGAGAGGTAGTCACGGGCCAAGTCATGGAAGGCATTGGAATTTTTTTCTAAGTAAAAGGAAGACTTTGAAGAGTTTAAGGGAAGAGCATGCATGGTCAGATTTGCATTTCTAGCCAGCTCACTTTGCAGAGTGAGAATGCTTTGAAGTGGAAGGAGGAACTGGAGCAAGCTCTTTCATAGTTCCGTTGATGGATGAAGGCCAGAGCCAGGGCTGTAATGATTGAGAACGCAATGTCATTCTTGTACTTATTTTCCATAGAATAAGCTCAGGTCCAGTCCAGGGCTTCTGTTGGAGAAGGCTAGACTCAGGTTGCAGGGTGTACGAGAGTGGAAGTCTCTTAAGAAGGACTCTTAAGAAGCCCTATCCATGAGTGGCTATACAGTTCCTCTGTCTCAGGTGACTGTGATTCAATGGTCCCTTCTATTCCTCTAAGCTAAATACGGTTTCTTATGACCACCTAAGTAAAATATATCCACCTAATGTGAAACTTGTGATCTTTTTTTCTTTTTAGTTAAGGCACGAAGGTGGAAGAAAGTGGAAGAAGAGTGAATAAAGTAATAAAGTGAAGGGAAAAAATTACAAGGCAGTAGATCTAAGAAAAAGGAATTTTATTCTAACCTAAATTGTACTAAAATCTTAACTTTATTTTCCTCTATTTTCCCTCCTTGTTTATGAAGGTTGAAAAACGTTAATCATAATCTTCCTTTTAAATAAGGCTAAAAGGTAAAAAAAAAAAAAAAGAATTTGGTTCTGTCATATTCACTATTTTATATGCTTCTGTGCCCTTGTGTTTGCTTCTGTGGGAGATGGACTTGCAATTGGTCAGATTCCCCACACTGCACATCCTGTGGTAAGGAGCGAGCAGCACTCATTTTGTAGACTCTGTGTTTGAAAGCACAGCTTATTAAAGATAGGAAAAGAGTAAATGTTTTTGCGTATTTTAAAGGATAGTGCTATATGTTTGTATGTATATATGTCATACACATACATAATTGTACCTGCTTAGAAGGTACAATTTAATTGTTGTTTGTTTCTTTAACAGGGAAAAAAAGATGTGACCCAGATATTTAACAACATCCTGAGAAGACAGATAGGCACTCGGAGTCCTACTGTGGAGTACATTAGTGCTCATCCTCATATCCTGTTTATGCTCCTCAAAGGGTAGGTGCCTGGCTTCCTTTCAAGTGCGTCTGAATTTCAAATAGTTCTTAAAAGTACATAGCATTAACCTCATTTGAAATATGGTCGGTTCCCTTTTGGAATTGCAGTAAAGGTATTTGCCATGCTTGAGGTTAGCCCTCCAAAGCTCTGTCTCTGTGATTACCTAGGCTGCAGCAAAATCCTTTCTTTGCATGTTAATGTTTCTAAATGTCATGTTTCTATTTACTGCCTCTCTTTCCTCCACCTTTCTGCTGTCTCTGTGTCTCCCTGTTACAGTATTGCTTGTGCTTCCCAATCAGCCGTAGTCCTGGTCACCCTTTCCCTGCTCACACGAGACTGAATCCTCTCACTACACACACACACTTTCTGGTTCTGAGAACTCAAGTTTAGGTGTAAGAGTTTTTCCAGTAGCTGGCAATCTGCCAAGGTGATGTGCTTCTACATGGGGATAGACTAAATATTACTGAATGTATATGGGGCTATAGAGAAGGTATATAACTAAAGTCAAAATAGATAATAAAAATAGAATCCCTGATTATTATTTTTTATGTATACTCATTTACAAATGTTTCTTGAGAATTCTGAGGCTACTAAGTCCTAAAGACTGAAGACCAGGGCGTAGCAAGGCTTGGGGACAGCAGATTATTTTCTTCCTCATCCACCATCTCAAAGCAGCATGCCTTTTTTTATTTTATTGTATTCCTATTTTCTATTTTTTTTTTTTTTTTTGAGACAGAGTCTCGCTTTGTTGCCCAGGCTAGAGTGAGTGCCGTGGCGTCAGCCTAGCTCACAGCAACCTCAAACTCCTGGGCTCCAGTGATCCTTCTGCCTCAGCCTCCCGGGTAGCTGGGACTACAGGCATGCGCCACCATGCCCGGCTAATTTTTTTTTTTTATATATATATCAGTTGGCCAATTAATTTCTTTCTGTTTATAGTAGAGACGGGGTCTCGCTCTTGCTCAGGCTGGTTTTGAACTCCTGACCTTGAGCAATCCGCCCGCCTCGGCCTCCCAAGAGCTAGGATTACAGGCGTGAACCACAGCACCCGGCCATGTATTCCTATTTTCAATTCTGCTGTTCCATACCTAGTCCATCTCACCTGTATCCAATTTCTGGCATACATTTTTAAACATTTAATTGTATCAAAATAATACATAACACATAGTTTAAAAATCAGCTACATCAATGAGGCTCTTTGCTCTTCCTTCTCCATTTTTTAATCCTATTGCCCAAAGACAACCACTTTTGTCTTTTTTATTTGTTCATTTGTTTATTTTTATTTTTTTTTGAGACAGAGTCTTACTCTGTCACCTTGGGTAGAGTACAGTGGTGTCATCATAGCTCACTGCAACCTCAAACTCCTGAGCTCAAGCTATCCTTCTTCCTCAGCCTCACAAGTAACCGGGACTATAGGCACGTGCCACCACGCCTGGCTAATTTTCCTATTTTTAGTAGAGATGGGGTCTCACTCTTGCTCAGGCTGGTGTCGACCATCTGAACTCAAGCAATCCTCCTGCCTCATCCTCCCAGAGTGCTAGGATTACAGGTGTGAACCACCGTGCCCAGCCTGTTCATTATTTTTTTTATCATACATTTACCTATGTGTTAACAATAATGGGCTTTTACTAATTTTTTCATTTATCAATTTTAAATAATATCTTTGACAAGATTAACTGGATGATAATTTAGTTTTTTTACTGCCACCATTACTCCATTTCCTTCCTTTTATCCTCTAATTTATTGTAATTTTAAATTTTATTAATAATTACATTTAGACATTACCAAAATAGGTTGTGGTAACTTCTTGTGGTAACTTCCCTGCTTTCTGGTACAAGACATGCCAGGCCCAACTTGTATGTTTTCTGACACAGGCCTGGAATTTCTACCAATTTCTTTTTTAAAAAGAATGGTTCTTAGAGACTACAATCTGGATACTAGGAGTGCTCATTGACATTTAATTATTATTGCTTCTAGGCTATTGAATGGACAAAATTAACTCATTATTTTTAAAGTAAGCAAATATTTCTGGATTAGAAACAAATTTTCTTGACTATATTGAGGAGGCCAAATATTTTTTGAATAGCATTTTGCAAAAGTTTTCTAAGTACTTGCTGACATTGTTCACTTCCAGCAATAATAACAAAAATAATGACTTTTTTATTTTGTTATTATTGTTTTTCCCATTAAATAACATAATCTTTGTTCTTCAGTTGAGATGTTCTTGCACAAGATCTTTCTTCTAGCCATTTTCTATATGATTACTGTAGCCCACTACTAGCTGAGACAAGTGCTCTTACATTTTGGTTTTCATTAAATTTGAAAAGGATCTTTCGGTATGCTGTCATTATTTGAATAAGCATGCATGTATAGTGACATGCCTCTCCATATTGACACAGTTAATTATGGTCCAGCCTATATGATCCAAACTATAAGTCAGGAGGGAAGATAGGATTCAGTTCTATAAAATAGTGATTCAGCATTCATTGGGTTAACCTTTATTAAGGACCTGCCATAGGTCATTGTTGGAAACACTTATTACTAAATAATGATGAGTGGGGAATACTTCTTTATATATTAATAGTAAGCAATAGCGTATTTAAAGTCAATATCCTAGAGGGTAGTCAGATTGAAGTGATATATGTGAATTATATATCCCTTAAAGAGTACTGAGGAACATTACGATTCCCTATATATCCCAGTGTATTTCTAACTTTAAGAAATTGTCATCTAGAGAATGACAAATGTCAAACTACTGGGATGAAATGACAAGTGTGTTGACCCAGAGGAGTATTTTAAAAATGTTCTCTTGGTTCTCAAGAATAAATTGTCAGTGCATCACAGATGGTTTCAATAAACTTCACCAAATGAAAAGAAAAAGAGAACTAATTATACCCAAAAATTAGAGTGGAAATTTTTTATAGATGGTGTTAGTTTGGAAATTGAATTAAGAAATGAGAAAACATTGGCTAGAGATCCTACATCTTTTCTATAAGCCAGAGTTTGACTCTCATTAGAATCTTCTAGTACTAAGAAATTTAGTCAGAGTTTGAGGTTCATTAAGTTCACTGTATGCCTACTTTGTGAAAAACAGTATGCTAGGCACTCTTTGGAGATTAGGTGGGGATGGGAGAAAGTAACAATAAGTAAGACATAGACACTAAATGAAGGTGGGGGTAGGGGAGGAGAGGAGAAGGTAACAGGATAAGTAAAACGTGTCCCCAGCAATTAAGTTGTTTGTAATGAGGTAAAGAAGACAGATTTATAACAACTTACTGTGATATAATAATATAGTATTTGAAAAAAGCTAAAGTAGGAGTGTGAAGGAAGGAGAAAATAATCCCAAATGATGGGTGATTAAGAAGACTTCAAAGAGGAGGTAGGTGGCATTTGAACTAAGCCTTGAAAGATGAGGCAGAATCTTAGTGGTGGAAACTTATGGAAAAGGGCATTCCACCTGAGGGAATGGTATATACTCCAGGGAATTGGAGAATGTGATGGGAGATGAAACTGAAAAGGTAGGTTTGGTGCCAAATTATCAAAGTTCACAGGTATTTTATAATAAGTAAGGATTTTAATGGTCTGTCCCTTAGGTTTTTTCTCTAGGCCAACAGGCTTTATTTTATACTCTATTGAGTACTTTATCAATAAATGACAGGTTTTTCTCCTTCACACATCATAAAATATACTCCTCTTTAAAACATCTTTAATAATACCCTACCTTGTAACTCTTCTGCTTAATCACAAACATCCTCATCATTTTGTCCAGTTGGTTGCAGTAAACATCTCCTGTAATCGACTGACCAGGTTTCGTGAAGCTGTAGTAGATAATACCAGTGCTGGACCACCAGACACCATTAGCTTTTTTGGATGAGTTTTCAGTTTTGAACTGTGTTTATGCACTTCATCTTTATCCAACCGTTGTGCCAAATCCTTATGATTGTCAAAAATAATCCATTTTTCATCACACGTTACAATACAGTGTAGAAATGGTTTGCCTCTATGTTGTGACAGCAAAGAAAGGCAAGCTTCTAGACGAAGTGTCAAAGTGAAATGTTAGAGATATCAACTGTCAAACTTAGTACACAAGGAAATCAGACATTTCATACTTAATAACCTTAACACCTTTTCATTGTTTACATTCTGCTTCCTCCTCCCTCCAGACACCCTATCACTAAGATATGAAGGCTATGACAGCGGTGACTTTGTCATGTTCACTGTTGTACCCCCAGCATCCGCAGTAGTGCCAGGCACATAGTAGATCTTCAGTGGGTATTGAATGAACCGTCTTTGAATGAACTGGGACAAATGATATCTGTGTTTCCATTAACAGCAGCATTGAAATGGTTCTTTTGATACCATTAATATTATTTTGTTAATAGGATAACAGAGGTCTCTCTTTTTCTCTCATTTATGCTTTAGATATGAAGCCCCACAGATCGCCTTACGTTGTGGGATTATGCTGAGAGAATGTATTCGACATGAACCGCTTGCCAAAACCGTCCTCTTTTCTAATCAATTCAGAGATTTCTTTAAGTATGTCGAGTTATCAACATTTGATATTGCTTCAGATGCCTTTGCTACTTTTAAGGTAATTTTTTTTTTTTTCTGAATCAGCGGGGTCATTTAGTTAAAGTTAGTTGGCTTCTGAAAGGCAATTTAATTTTACAAAGCAGAAAATTTTATTCCTTAGGTCTGAACATAGCCAACCATGTATGATGTATAATTGTAAGAGGCATCCGTAAATAGAATGCAATCTATGAGGCCAATCTGTCACGTCGTGGGAAAGTAACTCAAAATACTTGTCACAAGCTCATATGGAATAAATTGTAATATATACAGTTAAACGACAAAAGGAACGTGTAGTACTCTGTGTATAGCGTGCTGTCATTTTTGTTAAAAATAGATTAGAGGGTGTAAGTTCCACTTAAGGTGCATATGCACTGAATACCTCGGCAGGGATATATAGAAAATAGCAATAGTTGTTACTTCCAGGGAAAGGAATTGAGTAGTGAAGGGAGATGGAGAATTACATCTTGGAATATGAAGGACATCATATTATTTTATCAGTGTGATTTTTAAGTTTCCACATTGTGAAAAAATATTAATTATATTGTAGTTTTTCATACTTACCTATATTTTTATCATTATCTACTATTTTATCACTAATTTATCTACTTTGTCATTATGTAGGAAATAGTAGGGTTCACATTGTTGTGTAAGCAATTACCAGAACTTTTTTATCTTGTAAAACTCAAACTCTATACCCATTAAACAATTTCACACTTTCCCCTTCCTCCAGCCTCTGCCAACCATTCCACTTTCTGTTTCTATGCGTTTTATCATCAAAAAGATGTTCAGAGATGTTTCAGATGTATCATCAAAAAGATGTTCAGGATATCAGAAAATAGCATAGCTAATTTGCAAACAAAAATACCAGAACTTATATACATCCAAAGAGTGATGTTACCTTTGAGGTTTTTATTTTAGAGAACCATTTACTTATACATGTGATTCTGCCATTATTTAGTATATTTTGAAATTGGTATCAATGTCTATGGCATGTTCATTTTTCTTTTTTCCATTCCTTTTTTTTTTTTTTTTTTTTCAGTGAGACAATGTCACATCCAGGCTGGAATGCAGTGGCATGATCATAGCTCACTACAACCTCGAATTCCTGCATTCAAATGATCTTCCTGCCTTAGCCTCCCAAATAGCTGGGACTACAGGCACGCACCATCATGCCTGGCTAATTTTTTTATTTTTTGTAGAGTCAGGGTCTCGCTGTGTAGCCCAGGCTGGTCTCAAACTCCTGGCCTCAAGCAGTCTTCCCTCCTCGGCCTCCCAAAGTGTTGGTATTACAAGCATGAGCCACCATGCCCAGCCTACATGTTCATTTTTCAATAATGGCAAATCTTTATCTTTCAATAGCAGATACAGTTTTGAAAACAAAAAGCTATTTAAATTCAGGTTAGTGTATAAAGTGGGTGATCAAGTTGGCTAGAAATGTTTTCTTGGGGAGGGATAATATAATAATTATAATGATAAAAATAAATTTTAAGATGACTAAAATAGCGTCTGATTTTCTTCGGTGTCTACCAGATTGGCTCTGAAGGCCATTTTAGAAGAGGAATTCCAAAAATATAAGCTGATGATGTGACAACATTATTGAAAAAATAGGTTTTTAGGTCAAATATAAAGTAGATTAGACTCATTGAAATGTATATATGTATTCAGAGTCATTGCTTTTTAGCAATTTAATTATTCCATTTATATAATTCTAAATTTATTTCTACTTTTTTTGAGGGTATAAACATATACCCTTTTTTAAAAAACAATTTTTACTTATAACCCATGTATGGCTTTATTTTTTATATTTTAAATACACATTTCAACAATATTGATATAGTTCATATACTAATATTCATATAATATATGCTGTAATCTTAGTACTTATGAACAGAGTTTGAAAGTTGCTCATGACGTGGGTGATAAATAGTTTTGTTTTATTTATTTCTTTATTTCTTTATTTATTTATAGACAGAGTCTTACCCTGTTGCCCAGGCTAGAGTGCTGTGGCGTCAGCCTAGCTCACAGCAACCTCCAACTCCTGGGCTCAAGCAATCCTCCTGCCTCAGCCTCCCTCGTAGCTGAGACTACAGGCATGTGCCACCATGCCCGGCTAATTTTTTAATATATTTTTAGTTGGCCAATTAATTTCTTTCTATTTTTAGTAGAGACGGGGTCTCGCTCTTGCTCAGGCTGGTTTTGAACTCCTGACCTTGAGCAATCCACCCGCTTCAGCCTCCCAGAGTGCTAGGATTACAGGCATGAACCACTGTGCCTGGCCTAAATAGTTCTTTTTAAATAGCTCTCCCGAAGTGGAAAAAGGAGAAAGCAGTGGTTTGCTGTGCCAAAAACTGCCAATCATCTTCAGATAGGAATTTACCCAGCCTGAGAAGGTGCCTTAAATCTATTTAGAGGCATATGAGAGCACATGGTGACAGGGAGTGTGAGAGTGTGTCAGGAGCAGAAAGAATGGAGAAAGGGCCAGGGATGTGAGTAGAGCAGAAGGAAGGGGGGTCTAAGGAGAGGAAGGAGGCCTAGTGGAGGGAAAGGGATGGGCACGGTCCCCCGGGGCAGGGCCTTTCAGGCTGGGCAGAGAGACGGACTTGCTGTGATCGAGAAGATGGGACAGTGGTGAGTGGACTCTGCCCTGAGCGAGCCTGGTTGAGGAGGAGGCAAGTCTGGGCAACTGCCTGGGACACAGCCTAGAAAGGCAACCAAGACATCCCTGGAGATCAGACGAGCTGAGGAAGATGGAATCGCTGAGAACTCCTGTCAGTGTCAGGGAGAATGCTAGCTGAGGATGCTGGGAATATTCAGAAGCTGCTTGGGCTGGGCTGAGGCTAGATTCCATGGCGTGCTTAAGCAACAGCAGCCAGTTGTTACAGGGTGAGCCCAGTTAATTGTGGCACTTTTGTGGTCACAAACTTTGGGGTGTGCAGGTTTGGGAGTAGCACTGAGCTGCTGAGACGACAGAGGACAGGAGCTGCAGTGCCATCACCTTCCCAAAGCCACAGCCAAGCCTGCAATAAACACGGGCACAGGGAGCAGCTGGGTGTGGAGAGAGGTGGTGACGGCCTGCTCAGGTGCCCCACATGTCTCCATCCAGCCTGCCAGCCGAGGCCCTCCCTGAGGAAAAAGGGAGGAGAGGAAGAGGCCACACGAGAAGTCTGGGGTGGACAGGAAAGAGAAGGGAAGAAGGGGATTTAAAGACAGGGAAGTAGGAAGAAGACAAAGATGTGGATTAAGGAAGCATCTAGAGAGAACAGCAGGGGGAGGGAGGGAAAGAAAAGAGAGTGAGGAAAGGCTTGGGAACAAACTGTAAGGAGAGGTGGCTGGTAGAATGAGGGCAGCAAACATGGCTCTGTGCCCAGGGTGCTGTGAGATCCCAGAGCCACGAGGTCCCACCTGGCAAAACAGAAGTTGTGCAGTGGCTACAGATGAACTCCAGAAAGGGGAAATGTAGAGCACATGGTGAGACAGGCCTCAGTTGCATCAAATATGAAGAATGGCATTGAATACAGACATGATCCCATTTCTTCCCAGCAGAATGTCTGTGTTTCAACAGCTAAGGAGGTGTTTTCTAATAATAGAGACAGTGGTCCCATTTTGTCTCCTCTTCTATGAGATGGCTCTTTGCTGTCATGGAAACAAGTTCCTATTTTAAAAAACCGTAGTAAGACTTCACATAGTTACAAACATATTAATAGAATAAACTCTGATGGAGGGGAAAAGCAAATACTTAATGAATATGTATTTTTGAAAATTTCCCCAAAGGTTTTTCAACATTTAATAGAATGTACTTGATAATAATTTCTTGGTATCATATATTCAGCCCAATTTAATTTTCAATAATATTGAATCATAAAAATAAATTATGATGTTTTGATCCATACTTAAGCCAATTTTCCATTGAATTTAAGTGAATCCTTTGAAAATCTAAGTAACCATAAAAAGTTTTCTAGTATGCCACCAGTGTCGGAAATACCAATTTTCTATATTTTATCCAGATTCTTAAGGTAAATATGATGTAACAATGACCATAATTCATTGTGGGTTTTTTGTTTTGTTTTGTTTTTTATTTTTTTAACTAACTTGTTTCAAAGGGTTTAGTTTGTTTGGTTGGTTGGTTGGCTTGGCTATATTTTGGCTTTGGCTTTTTGGTTTTTTTGACCTTAGATTCATCATTTTTGTTTTGGGCTCCAAGGAGACTGTTGCCCAGTTTAATCATTAACATTTTAACATTGTTAGTTTATGTGTTTGCCATGGTATTTGTCTTGCTCTTTCCTAGAAAACATTCCTTATAACCATAATCTCTTTCATCCTTTCCTCTAAAAATCTTCATAATAGAAGTGGTTTAAATTCCATATCTCTCTGCCACCTGATTAGCTGTATGTCCTTGAGCAAGTTAGTTGACCTTTGAGTTTTAGTTTCATCTGTGAAATGAAGAAAATAATCCCTTCCTTGCAGAGTTGTGAAGATCAGAAATAACATTTGTAAAGTGCCGGTGCACTCCCCAGCACATGGGAAGCCCTTGGTAAATGGCAGCTATCTCATGTCCCCGAGACTGAACGTCTCTGTCACCCCTCCCCAAGTTTCTCCCAAGAAGAATTCACCAAAATATGGATATCAAATTTTTTAACATAATACTTACACTATGCAAAGCTTAACCCTGTCAAAACAGAATTATTAGGAGGTAAAATGAAAGTACACTATTTCAGATAATGCTTTAAAATTTGCACTTTTTTCCTTTCCAGTTTTCTGCTTTTTCCTTCTTGGGTAGGATACTAGCTAGTTTTTTGTGGAGTTTCTTTTCACTCAGTTATATGATGTATAATAATGCAACAACTATACTTATCTGTGTATTATGTGTATGTGTGTATATATGTATGGTGTAATTCTTCCAGGTTTATGCATACATATATTATGTACATAAATTCGAGGGTGTATACAATCGAGTGTAAATGGGTGTGTGTGAGAGAGTGCACACCATTTATTGGCTATGTCCATCATATGCATGCTAGAGGAATTCTACCCTATCATATTGTTTTTTCGTATTATTGGATTTTTAAGTTATTTCAAGGTTTGTTCCCTTTGGAGTTGGAAAGTTCTGGTTCTAACAGAACTCTCTCCTGATTCCTCTTTCCTTGCAATAACGCTAATCTAGAACTCAGTGCTCTGTCTGGTGCTGTGGCTGCTTGCGTGAGGCCTGCAGCTGGGGAAGACCCTGTGCCCAGGCCTCACATTCAAGACTGACCATGGTAGCGGGCGGAGAGCTCCCACGGGTGCAGCAGTCCACAGTGTCTGCTGCAGCCCAGAGAGAGAACTCCTACCCTGGGTCAGCTCAGAAAGTCCCCGATATTGCTGAGAGGGTTCCCACAAGGATAGAGGAGGGGTGCTTAAAAACAAGGCACTGGTGATATCCTCTTAGAAAAAGATTAGGGACCCCAGAGGATACTGTGACACTACCTTACTCTCTCAGGGATCTCCTGGTGCAGGAACTGGTTTGAAACAAGACCTCAGACAGGCCAGGAATCGAGCTCTGCAGATGGTTTTCCCGTGAAAAACTCCAGTTCCAGAACAGTACTGAGTGCTCTGCTACCCTGGAAAACAAAAGCACCAGTTTCCACTGACAGGCCCAGTGGGCAGTCAGGTTGTGCAATGATAAGTAATAGGAAATTCAGAGCCTGTTTCATTGTTTGTGAACTTGAAAATTATTGTGTGCAATACTTTAAATATTTTACTTTTTTGAAAAACTTAAAAATGGAAATAAGTGGGTTTTACCATGGTTGCTGCCTGCCTTTTCTCTGTGAGGTCATGCCTTTAGGAAATTTTAATTAAATATGTATTAAAGTATAAGAGTTTATTTTGGAAAACTTTAAAATTCTTCTTATGTTTTTAATTAAATTCTGCACGGTACCTGGGCAGGCTATTTAGCCTCTAAGCACATAAACGGGATTAAGTGAGGCTTGTTTTCTTTCAACATTAAGGTGAATTAAGGACATAATTTAGGTGTGAGTTGAAGACAGTCAATGTTCTTTCATGGTTTTGTTCAGTTTTCTGCAAGTTTGTATCTGCAATAAGATAGGGCTACTTGTATCCAACTTTGAAAGGGTGCATTGTGCTACTCAGTGACTCACACAGCACCTCCCAGCCCATTAACCCGAGAGCACGACCATACTGATTTGACACCACTAAATGTCATTCCTGTGCTTCCCAATATCTGAAGCACCTACATTTTTACAAAAGGATAAAAATCACTGAAAAAGCTATTAAATTAACTTGCGAGATAATGGTTTTAGGCCATTCAGAGTTCTTTTAAAAATAATTAGTTATTAATGACAGTTGAAAAAGATCATCATAAACTTTATTTGAATATTTGTTATATCATAATTACAATGTAGAGTTTATGGTTTCAAGAAATATGCTGTGAAATCATTTCTTAGGTTCCATTCGTTTCACCAGTTAAGTTATTTCTATCACAAATCTAACAGTGATATGAATTTAAAACTCTAGGTTTAACACTAGTTTTTGTTTTCGTTTTTTGATAACATGAAACACACTTGTATTTTATATCTTAAATGTAGGAATGGAAATAATTTTGTGGTATAAATGAAAATGTCCTCCAACTTTTATATGTCTATAAATCTTAGAAGGAAAATAGATTTTTTTTTGTATTTATAAGCTATAATAATTTTCTGTCACTTGGTTGTTCTTTTTCTAGGATTTACTAACCAGACATAAAGTGTTGGTAGCAGAGTTCTTAGAACAAAATTATGACACTGTAAGTACAAATTATTTTTTAGACGTTACCTTTCTCCCTCCCTCCGCCTCCCTCTGTCTTAGATCTGTGAGCAATTGCCCATATTTATTGTCCACAAGAGAAATCAACCATACTCAGCTGTACTCCTGATTTGTCTATTTACCTGGAAACCAGGTCATTAGGAAACTTTATGGAAAATTGAGAATGACAGGAGGGCAGGGCTTCCCCCATGTCACATCTCTTCCTGTTGTGCTCTGAAGCTCTAAGAAATGATTGGCACCTGCTTGCTTTGATCTTGAGTTAAGAGGACTCATGTTGCCTTTCAGAGGTAGCACCACAAATATTTCTGTCTTTCAACTCCCTTCCCAAACAGTGAATCCAACTCATCCTTTTGAGATTTGGCTGAAATGTCTCTCTTCTAGGAAGCGTCCCTAATCTCACCCTTCCCCAAACACACACGATCTTTCTCTCCCTTCCTTCCTCTGTCCTTCTCTCCCTCTCTGTCTCCTTCCTCCCTTCCCCCCTCACTTTTCACAGTGTATTATTATGGTGTATCTGTGTCTTTCTGACTGGCCCTCGAGCTCCCTGAGAGGCAGGAATCTTATCTGTAGAACACAGGGTTCATAGTACAGAACAGACTCCAGAGTCTGCCTGCTTGCTTGGCTTCAAGACCTGGCTCTGCCTCCTTCCCAATTGCGTGACCCTGGGCAAGTTACTGCACCTACTGCAAGATGAAGGTAGTAATAACACCTGCCTTGTAGTAGGGCTGTTGAGAGTGATTTGAGAAGACTTAAAAGTTTTTAGGACACTAAGCACTCAATAGTAGCTTTATTATTAGTATGTGTATTCGTAAGTGATACCTAACTCGGTGTCGTACATTTGTTGGTGTTCAATGAATGATTAATGAATAGATCCATCCAAGAGCAGCTATACTTTTGCTGAACATATAAGCAATAGAAACAGCGTGATTGAAGTAGAACACAGCACAAACTGAGAAGCAAAACTTTACAAGATTTGTTCTAGTGTTGGTTCAGATGCTCTGTTTTAGTGCTGTCTGGTAGAAATATAATGCAAGCCACAAATGAGAGCCACTATTTAACTTAAAATTTTCTAGTAAGCCCTACAAAAAACTAAAAGGAAACAGTTGAAATTAATGGTATGCATCTATTTGACCAATTATTTAAAATGTTGTTTTAATGTACAATCAATGTAAAAAATGATTGAGCTATTTTACATTCTTTTTTTTTTTTTTTTTTGAGACAGAGTCTCGCTTTGTTGTCCAGGCTACAGTGAGTGCCGTGGCGTCAGCCTAGCTCACAGCAACCTCAAACTCCTGGGCTCGAGCGATCCTTCTGCCTCAGCCTCCCGAGTAGCTGGGACTACAGGCATGAGCCACCATGCCCGGCTAATTTTTTATATATATATCAGTTGGCCAATTAATTTCTTTCTATTTATAGTAGAGACAGGGTCCCGCTCTTGCTCAGGTTGGTTTTGAACTCCTGACCTTGAGCAATCCGCCCGCCTCGGCCTCCCAAGAGCTAGGATTACAGGCGTGAGCCACCGCGCCCGGCCTATTTTACATTCTTATTTCATGCCGAGTCTTTGAAATCTTGGTGTGTATTTTACACTTACAGCACATTTCAAGTTGGACTAGCCACATTCCCAGTGCTTAGTAGCCACGTGTGGCCCTATATGGAACAGCATAGGTCTAGGTAGGACCCTGAGGAGTGACACTGTCTCCTCTTGTCCTCACCATCATCCTAGTGGTGATAGCAGCAATAGCCAAAGTTATTTTTTGCTAGGATTTTTGGCATTTGACATATGCTAGTTAATGTTACTACCTTGTATCCCTATCTCCAAGCCTAGTGCCTGACACGGAACAGAGAGCAATATGATGTGCTGTATTGAAGGAGCATTTAATTATTTATAATATTGATGCCCAAACCAAGAAGTTCTAAATGTTTATATATATGGTATGATAGATTTTTTTTTACTTCATCCATTAAAATCAAAAGACAATTTCATGTGTATATATTTTTTATAGTAATATAAGTAAGTTAAGGTAAAGTATCTTCCTTATTGATTGAAATCTTTGGTATTGAATTAAATTATATGTATTTACAAAAATACATGTATTTTTGATAATAACTTCATGACTTTATGCCTTCCCAACAGTACTCAGTATAGGTAGAAAGTTGGGTGCGTAATAGGCATATGGCCAGTGATAGCCAACAACTACTAGTAACAATCCCTAAGAAGTCTCTCAACTGTACCCTTGACAAAACTTGTGTATACTCCTTGATGCCGGGAAGATGTGGAATACCCTACCTATTAGTAGTATACTTCACATACCCAAATCATGAAAATTTAACTATGTCTCTTTTATTCATAAATAAAATAAATTTTATTTTTGGCAGTTGTCCTTCAATTTAAAATTAGCAATATAATCATAAAATCAAAAGTGATTTTTATAACCTAAAGTTATCAAGAAAATATCCATGGAATCAACTGGAGTACTTTGATGTGAGTGTAAAATGTGAAGGGAGAATAATTTTTTATTGATACATAATAATTATACATCTTTATGGGGGACATTATATTTTTATACATGCATATAGTATATAACGATCAAATCAGTGTAATTAGAATATCCATCACATGAAACATATATTTATTTGTGTTGGGAACATTCCAGATCTTCTCTTCTGTTTTGAATATATAATAAATTATTGTTAACTATACCCATCCTTGTATTTCTGTAACCAACCTCTCTTTATCCAACCTCTCTTTATCCTCCCTTCTCACAACCCTTCCCAGCCTTTGGTAATCATCATTCTACTGTGGGGAGAATAATCAATAATTTTTATTATGAGAGGCATCTAATAGTTTCAAGGCTATAATTGAAAGGGGTATAATTTTGAATTTAGAAAATGAGCTATTATACAGTTTGGTTGTTCAGTAACTATATATGCTAGATGGAATGTTAAGGAAAGATTCATTAGATATTACAATTATAATAAATGAAAAGTGTAAGATAACATATAGCAAAATCTGTAGTATCAACTAATTACTAATTTTTCTTGTAGAATGAATGAGGTAAAGGTGTTATGCAATAATGCTTTTCATTCAGGGATAATACACAACAATTTGAGAACTAAGAAACTCATCCTATTTGATTCCTTATTTACCTGATTTTATTCTTGTGTAACTTAGTGGTTTCATAGACTCTGAGCCTACTGCATTGGCCTGAATACTAGCTCTGAGAACTCATGTCTTCTCAAACATTTCATACTTCTTTAGTTTCATATTTCTTTAGCAATAGACTATGAACCAGGAGCATATGATGTATGACTATAAAATGATGAAACTGGCAGCTTAGGGAGTCATACCTTGTACATGCATTTGCATTTCATAGTTATAATTAAAATAGATCACAAGGTTTGTCTGATAAATTTAATGATCCACAACATTCTCCTTGTGTTTCAGGGTAGAATAATTAAGTCATTCACATAAAAGAGTGTAATTACTGTGACTTTAATGTGAGCTACATATTTTAATTTTTACTTTTCCCTTTATTAATTCTCTATTGGTAATTATCATCAGTGCACACAGCTTGGTCTTATCGCATGCTTGAGCACATACCCCTCATACTCTGCTCCCTGAGGGCTGGGACTGTTTTCCACCCTCCCCACTTCTGGAATGATCTTGCCTTCTGTCCTGACTGTACTCGCTCCTCTCTCTTTCGTGGTCTCTGAGCACTGCCCACTCGTGGTGGGAGGTGGATGCTGAGCTTCCCCAGCTATTGGCACTCTGTGTTCAACAAAAGGGCCTGGCCCACGACCGATGACCACATTAGGAAACAGGAAGACCCTGTGCACCAGTGTCCCCAGCTTCTGGTGACAGTGGAAGTGCTCCACAGAAGCCAGCTGGGATTAGCATGGCTATCACGCGGCAAAGGTTGCCTCATTCCTCACCTGTTCACGCAATGAATTTGACAGTCTGATTCTTTGTAGGTTGCCAAGTGAAGCCCTAAGTGTATTTAATCTCTTCCTAGATTGTCCATGGGCCCATAGCTACCAGCAAGGCTATATAAACAGATTTCTTTAAAATAGCATAAAATGAATTACCTTGCAACTTTTAATAGATGTTTTATTCAAAATGATTTATAGGGAGGACTCAAAATTACTCCACTTTTCTACTCAATTTCTAATTTGCAGAACTAAAATAATGTAAGGAAAGGTGTCTCTTATACTCTTGACCTCCCTGTCCCCCATATGTTCATGTGTAAGGAGTGTGGTGAAATGGTGACACCTCCTGTGGACAGTGGTGATCAGCCTGCGGTTAAGTGCAGAGACACAGAGCGTGGCGGCCGGGCCGGGAACTTACTCCTGAAGAAGAACAGAATGCACTGCTGCTTTCACTCTCTAATCTTTTCTTTTCTTTTCATTAGATCTTTGAAGACTATGAGAAATTGCTTCAGTCTGAGAATTATGTGACTAAGAGACAATCTTTAAAGGTAATATCAAATTTCTTTAAATTAGAGTCCCCATAAGTTGGTATCTTGTTAGCAAATGATTGGTCTATTAGTGGATGAGTAAATACAGAAAAATTAAAGTATCCTTTTTTTGTTGTTGTTAACTTGAGAAGTTTTATGTTATGACTCTACTTTATAGCAAAATAACATAAGTGTCCTGCCTCAATTTGGGGAGTAACAATATGAATAATAAGTACATAATAGAGTAGAATTTACAATATCTTTTCTGAGAAAGAAAACCAAACCTAAGCTAACTTAAATAGAATCACAGTTCTCTCCTAGGGGATATTTTACGGAGATGAAAAGAACTTAAGAGTAAAACAAGGATGAGAATCACTGTTTATAAGAAGGAATCAGTGAGGCTCCTATAATTATTTTTCAGTATATCTTGAAACAGAATAGGCAGAAAGAAATGATCTTATGTTTCTTACGTATCTCTCTGTAAACTGGACTTGAGGCATGTTTTGCAGAGAAGAGGAGAGGAAAAGGGAAGGACAAAATATGTCACATGAACTGCAAAAATTAAAGTTTCCTTCTAAGTCGTAAGCACAGTAATTGATAAATTCTTAATATCTTGGACTATAAAAAAGACTTCTTACTATAAAATGGTGTTCATATAGTTGAAATGTTATGGGGCTTCTGTTTTATAGGAAGTCTTTATCTCCCAAATTGGTAACAGATTTTCCTAAAGAATTTTTTCTTACCATATTTCATTGCCAAGTCCCATTCCCTGAGCATTCTGGTCAGTCCGTGTTTCACTGTAGATTGTTTTAAATACTTCTACCACTTAACATGACATGTTCAAATTATACTTACAGTAAAGATTCTGAGTATGAAACATGGTCATTCCCTAAGAATTAAAAGAATAATGTTTTAAAAATAAACTCTAATAAATGGACATATGAGAAGACTACAATGTTTGAATATACAAAACTTTGCTTTTCTAATAAACTACCAGGATTATACTGAAACAGAATCTGGAAAGAGGTTTTAAAAGATGATGTAACTAACTGGAAAATAAAAAGTCAACTCTTAATTACCCATAAACAGCTTAGTTGGATGAATTCTTGGGGAAGGAGTAATGAGGGAGGTAATAAGTAGAACATTCCATTTGATCAACAAATACATGTTCATAATTCCAGACATATGGTGACAGCCAAGAACAGTTAGAGCTCACATTCTGTTGAGGAGGAGAATAGACAATAGACAAATGAGCAAATAAATACATAATTTTCATATGGTTTTCAGTATTGAAAAGTTAAGCAGGGTGAGGGAGCAGAAAGTGATGACTGGGAGGACAGGTATGTGCATGTGTATAAAACCAAAAGACATTTTTAAGAACTCCATAAGTTGATCTTTGAGCAAATACTAAATTTGTGAAAAATTAAAATGACTCTGGATAAGGGTATATAAGGATGTGTGTGCATATAAAACCAAATGACATTTGCTAGTTGAGATTATGTCTCCTGTGAAAAATGCCTGTGGACGCGACAGTGAACCCAACAGAGTAGGCCACATGCATCTGTGAGTGGCCTGCCCTCCCCCAGGGCTAAGGTGCCTGGAAGAGGCCCTTTGTCCAAGGGGAGGTGGGAGAACCCTGAGGGGGGATGTGGGCTAGAGCTGCATCTCTGCCCTTCACATCCTACTCAGATATTCAAAAGAATGTTTTCGGCAGCTAATAAGATTGACTGTTTGCAGTTAAGCAATTTGTATGATGTTCCAGCTTGCTAAATATCACACTTGTATTGTCTTTGCATGTCAGGATGATGGCATTCGTAGAACAATGCATTCTGCTTCTAAATATTGGGTACAATTTTAAGCTAAGGCAATAATTTCAATCTATTTTATACCATATTTGTGGTCACTTTACAGTGCCCATGAGCTTGCATTGGCCGTGACCTGCTTTCCCCTGTGTTCGTGCAGTCACTTGGAGAGGTCGTGTTAGTGGAGAGGTCAGTTTTCAGCCAGTCATTCAACACTCTTTATTGAGTTTCCCTTTTGCACAGAAACCCATACAAGGAGATCCATTTAGGAGAAAGCACATGGCGTGCTGCTCTCGGTGCCGGAGCTTGTAGTGAGGACACCGAGCTGCGAGCTGCGTGCAGAACTGACCTCCAGGCAAAGGCAGTGAGGACCTCAGTGCTTTGCTCTTCCGCGTGCAGAGAGCTTGCTAGGAGCAGATGAAGATAAGGGCATACCCTATTGCCATAGCCATGTACCTAAAGAGTAGAATATTTTATTTGTGAAGGGCTCCACAAGGAAAGCCAAAATGAGGGGAGCTTGCCCATGTTATAAGAAATAGTGGCCCTGGAAGGAAGGTGACAATGCTCTGAAGGGTCAGCATATAGGAAATTGCTCATAAATTGTCCAAATCCTTCCTTTTCTCAGTGGGAGTCTGTCAGACACTGGACCAAAGTAGAGAGGGTCATGTGAACTTTGGTGACTAAACCAAATTAGGAGGGAGACAGCTGAAGGCCTTTGGCCAGTCCAGTGACAAGAACTTGTGACAGAATTTTTTTGGAATCAACTTTCTCCGGGACCTTAGGCAAAGTCTCAAAGCTGACAGTGTCTTTTTTACCCAAACATCTCTCTTCCAGCCCTCTTCCTGCTTCTTCTTTCTTGGTAGCCCATCATCCCCCTCCCACCCACACGCCCAATCGCCCTCATTTTCCTCTCAGGTTATCTTCACCCTCACCTTGTCCTGTTCCCCCACTAACAGTCGTGAAGTAGTTTTAGCAGAGCCTCCCTCATGGTAAGAATTGCTGACAGCCGGGCGTGGCGGCTCACGCCTGTAATCAATCCTAGCACTCTGGGAGGCTGAGGGGGCGCATGGTTTGAGCTCGGGAGATCGAGACCAGCCTGAGCAAGAGTGAGACCCCCGTCTCTACTAAAAGTAGAAAGAAATTAACTGGCCAGCTAAAAATATATAGAAAAAATTAACCAGGCATGGTGGCACATTCCTGTAGTCTCAGCTACTCAGGAGGCTGAAGCAGGAGGATTGCATGAGCCCAGGAGGTTTGAGGTTGCTGTGAGCTAGGCTGACGCCACAGCACTCTAGCCGGGCAACAAGAGTGAGACTCTGTCTCCAAAAAAAAAACAACTATTGACATTTGTTAACTAAATCAAACTAAGTTCTATAAATATTCCTGATCATTATCTCCAGAATTCACTCTCTGAAAGGGATTGATCGATTCTAAACAAATAATTGGGACTAGGAGGTGAATAGGACTTATTGCTACCAGGATACATCTGCATTTAAAAATAGAAGCTTGTCAGTCCAGTGAATGTGTGATGGGTACAAGATCTAATGCAAATTTGACAGGGAGCAAAGGGGAGTGAGGACTCCTTCCTCGCCACCATTCAGCCTCCCTTCCCCTCACACATGGTTCTCCAGCTATAGACCTCGGTGCTTTTCCCAGTGATGTGGGCAAAGAGCAGACCACGTTTGTATCTGGTACAGAAACTCTGCTTTAAACTCTCCCCTTTCAGACCATTTGCATTCCCAGCCTACTTCAGGGCATCTTTCTTGTGCTTCATTACTCCACCCAGACATACTATATTAGCTGCCCCAAATCCTTTACAGTTAGGTGTCTCACAAATATTTTATTTACAATGTGGTACAACCAAGCACTGGTTGGACAGTGAAAAAAACACCTGACAAAAGACAAATTAGTATATCTAAGAATGCAGAAAGTGTCAAAATGGTTACTGAAGAGTTGGCTTTTTTAAATGTTAGATCATAGAAATGTCACTAAAATGGTCTTGTATTATTCTGTTCAAACAAAACAGTTGATGACTGTGAAATGAGTTCATATTTAAATATTGAGCTTATTAAATTTTGTTTGATTTTTTTTTGATAGAAAATTATTGTTTTGGGGAGCTCCGCTGACACAATTTTGCTTTTTCCTTTTGGGAATTAGATCTGCGGTAGCAATGTATTCTATTTTGATACAACTATGTTTATATATGATTCTGTAATTTTTTTCATAGATGTTTCATAATTGTAGGAAACAAGAGAGGTTAGATTATTATTATAGTAAGCAACTTTGTAAGTAATAAATTGTCTTAAGTATTAGGGTATTTTCTGATTCCAAAGTAGTTGCCACCTGCTGCCATTTGTTAATTGTATTCTGAATTTTTCTGAACCATCTTGGGGTGCTTAATTCCTGGTGTCAATAAAAAATAATTAACAGAGAAATTCCTTTCCCTCATGTGACAGAGTTTAGGAATTTATTTCTTATCTTTTTCAGAGGCCTGGCATTTAATTACCAGCAAAAAAGATTATAATTCAAAAGAAGCTTGGTGGAATTTGGGGGGTTTTTTTGACTCTGGTCAATTTCATTAAAACACTAAGTTTTGAAAAAACTTATTTCCACTTGATGCATGGTTTTACTACATACTATGAGGCATATAAAATGAAAAATTTAATGAAGTATGATTTTTTCCACTTACTTGGTACAGTATTATGTTATAGTACCTTGTATTATTATGGAATGCAGCATTTTGTCATTGTCAATGTTAATTAAAATGGACTAACATTTAATGGTTAAAAGATTCAGTGTTGTTAGGTGATTTAACACAATTAATTGTTTCAGTAAAGTTGTGAAATTGTATTAGCAGAGGATACATTGGGTAGAATTTATGTTTAGGTATCACCAGATAATAAAGGTTGAAGTGACTTAATCTGAACCTAACTTACAAATGTAACTTCAACAAATGTTTATCGAGAGAGTATGTGTGTAAATTTTAAGGATTAATTTTTTTAATGAAATTTCTCTTTTGCTGAAACCTTTTAATATGTGTTTGTGTATGTATATGGTATTTGACTTTCTCTCTCTCTCTCTCTCTCTCTCTATATATATATATATATATCTTTAGAAGTTAAGGAAGCCTCTGTCAGCTTTACAACTCAAAAGTGGTTTTTCTGAGGTCTGACAGCCTTCCCTTTGAAATACATTTAGGAAGATAACACTCCTATTTCCTGTCACCAGGAGAATTTAACCTACATGCCTTTCTCCAAGCTATAACGGTTTGCTTCTCAGAGATAAGAGAAGTTTTATTATACTAGAGAGATAAATGCAATTAGCTGAGATAAATAGCTACCTCAATTGCCAGGTGAATTTAGGTGAACTATGAATGAGTGCATAGAAATGGTGCTGTCAAGTCGTCTCACAGGGGACAGGCTACTCTTCATCTTGAGGACATATGTATGTAATAGATAGTGTCTGCTTGGCTGCATAAACAAGGTAGAATTTTATCTCTCTTCGTAACCTCTTTTTCACAGATTATCTACTATATTGTGCTCTGAATATGCTCATCCAATTCTTTCTGTTCTACATTTTGTGGAGGGGACTCGGTATTGATAGGGCTTTTATTTTCCCAGCAACATCCGTGCACATCACACCGTTAGGTTGGAAGGGGATTTGAAACGTGCCCTTAGGGAGCTTACACTCTAAATGGGCTCACCAATAACTCTGTACTGCAAGGCAAAGCAAATTCACCTGGGGAAAAGAGGAAAAACTTTCTTAAACACAACATCTGAGCTAGTCCTGAAAGGATGGGTAAAGTTTGGACAGGCAGAGATGAGGTGAAAGCATTACTCAAAGATTTGGAGCGAGGACCATAAAGCCGCAGAGGCAGAAGAATGAGGACGACGGAGGGAGAGCACTGAGGATGGGAAGCGTGGAATTGGCTCCAGGTCACAGAGGGCTCTGGATGCCATCTTAAATTGTTTACTTTTTCCTAAATCCATGAGAATCGAGGAATTTGTTGGTTTGTTTATTCATTCACTTTATAAGCGGAACTAGTAACACATACAGCAGATTTTCAGGAAGATGACTTTGGCATGATGTGCAGAATGGGTTGGGTTGGTGGAGAATGGAGAGACCATTCTGTGTGCTGTCTCAGCAGTCCTGCTGCAGGGTACTGAGGTTAAGTGAGAACATTTGCTGTAAAAATGGAATGAACCTTAAGTTGTGTACTTCTTATTTGTTAAATAGATAAAAGATGCATCTTAGGTGAGGTGGTTGTGGTAGACAGCAGCCCTCGGTTTGATGTGCTTTCTCCTCCCTTCAGGATTTCTGTGACCAGGGAATGAGGCATTACTATCCTGAGGCCTACAGAAAAAATCCAGCAAATAGGACAATTGAAAACTAAGTGTATCTTCTATTAAATGCATAAAATCCTGTTAAGGTACATTTAAGCCACCTAGTTGCTAAAGCTTTAAGAATTGTGGCCATTACAGTGAGAACAAAAGTTTCTAAGAAAGAGCAACAGTACATTCAGCCGTGTTGCCAGAGGGTCTTTCTTCAACTCTTCTCATTTGGGTATTTTGATGTTGTTTTAGAGTAATGTTGCCTTTGGGGAACTATTAGTTTGTCACCAGAATGTTTTGCTTTACTTTCTTCTAAAAACTTGCTGCACTTACTAAACTTTATGGATTCAGGGTCAGTCATTTTTCTCTGGCTTTATATCAGGTTTTGAAATAAAAAGCAGAGGAAAGGGTAAGAGTCATTTAACAGGAACCATCTTTACTGTAAGGTGCTAGTTATTCAGGTGAGGGAAGTATAATTATAGAGTTAGTTTTGTTATTCCTGTCCTACCTGAATGCCCACGGAACAGCACATCAGTGGGAAGCAAGATAATTGAAGTAAGCATCGAAAATAATACATTTATTTCTGGCTAGCTTTAGGCGAACTGCAGCAATGACTGGCTAAAAAAATACATTAAGCACTGTGTGAAAACTGTGCGAAAAGCTTAAAATAACTTCTTAACTACTGGATTTATGCCTGTGCTTTAAGATGCACCAAAGGACTTTCCAGTTTTTTTCCACGACACCATTCTTACTCACTTTTATATTTCATTTTTCAGTGAGAAGAAGTGAGATACGCTTTGAATAAGGTGACTGTGAGATTATAACTTTGATTCTGTTTTCTTGCAGCTGCTAGGTGAGCTGATCCTGGACCGCCACAACTTCGCCATTATGACCAGGTACATCAGCAAGCCAGAGAACCTGAAGCTGATGATGAACCTCCTGCGGGATAAGAGTCCCAACATCCAGTTTGAGGCCTTTCATGTTTTTAAGGTAAAGTACAAACTGTGGAAATAACATTGTAGGTATTGTTTTCCAGTTTCAAATGGCAAACTTCCTGCTTTTTACTCTTTTATGCTTAAGAGAAAATGAAATCAGGCAAGTCTTTCTGTTTTGCATGATTTAGATGAAATTTCACAGTTATCTTTTTTTTTTTAACTGTGTCCCAGGCTTTTTTTAAGAACAAAGTGATGAGTGGTGTGGGGATTAAAATCAAGAGCATCATTGAACTTCACCTTCCCCTCCAACCAGTTCCATCAAAACTCCCTGCCCCCACTTTTTGTGTTCCCAGTTCCTTCCTCAGTGAATGAAGAATTTAATTTCAAGAGCCGTAGTACAGACTCCAGGCTCTCCTCCCCCATAGCTTCTCCTCTTCCCCGGCCTCTGCACCCCCTGCTCTGTTCCTAGAAGGCCGGGCACCCCAGCTGGAATGCATGGGAGAGCCCAGAGTGGTGACAGGCAGAGGGAAAGGCTTTCCCCCTCCGGGAAGGAAACCAAGGCGTACAGCTGGTGAAGTGAGGGCTCCCATAGCTTGGGGTACAAAAATGGGGCCCTGGGGACAGAGGAAAGGACACACTGGTCCCCCTGAAAAAGGAGACCCAGCAGCCTCAGAACCCTCTCATTGTGAATAGCCACTGCTTGATCACTTGCCCTGTGGCACTGGCTGCGGAGCCACACTCAGGCCACGTCCTCCAGCCCAAGCTGCTGGGCAGTGTGGCTGACCTGCTGCAGAAACGAGCTCTCCAGGTCACTTGGTTCTCAGTACTCGGTCTCTTTCTCTTTTGGGCGGCAGGAGGGTCTCTGCTCTGCATTTCTCCTGAAGATTTTTATTATTGTCAGCTTCCTCCACCCACTTCTGCACCAGGGGCTGCAGCTTACCCATGGTCTTGAAGCCGAGCTGCAGAGCCTCAAAATGACAAATGGTCATTTGGCTGAACACCCTCCCAAAGAGAACCCCATGGTGAGCCCCACATGGGCCTGGGTGTATCTCAGAGTGATCTCCTTCTGCTTCAGGAGCGTGGCAAATTGCTCGAGTTCTTTCTGCGGAGCTTTGGTGTCCTCAGACTCCTCAGGGTTTTGCTGTAGCTTCTCCAGCTTCATGGTGCCAGCAGGGCTTGGGGGAGGCCCCTTGGAGTTGCCGTCCACCCTGGCTCCTGCCTCACCCCCAGGCTAAGGGGTCTCCACCTTGCCCCACTCCAACCTGAGGTCCCCAGCACACCCCCCCATAGAAATCATACTGCAAGGGAAACAGGGAAGCCCCCACAATTAAGAGCCTGGCTCAAGCCCTGGCCTGATTCCTGGCCCTCTGGGAAGGCCTTGGAAGCTTAGTGAGGTCTGAAAGTCAACCCGGCCTCCTTCCAGCCCTCCTGGCCCACTGCCCCCACCTCCTGGCAGGAGCAAGAAATCTGAAGCCAGAGGGGAAGGGAGGCACCCCAAACCAGGGCCCTGGTGAAAATGCCCATTTGTTTCTAAAAGGTTTGCTAACTAATCCACACCTCTAAATATTTTCACTCTTTTAGTGAGAAAATGTGTGATATTATTTCTCGGAAGTTACTAAAACAAATCAGTGATTGAGCTAGACCTAAACCCTGAGTCTCAACCTCTAAATGCTTTACTTTCCATAAGTACCATCTCTTTGGACCTTAAATGAGGCCTTGAAGAAATATCCAGTACCACTCTCTTAATGTTTTAGAAATTTTATCTATCTGTCTATCTATCTATCGTGTGTATACACACACACACACACACACACAACATATAGTTATATAATATAATTTTTTTTTTTTTTTTTTTTTTTTGACAGAGTCTCACTCTATTGCCCAGGCTAGAGGGCTGTGGCATCAGTCTAGCTTACAGAAACCTCAAACTCCTGGGCTCAAGCAATCCTTCTGCCTCAGCCTCCTGAGTAGCTGGGACTACAGGCATGTGCCACCATGTCCAGCTAATTTTTTCTATATATTTTTTGTTGGCCAATTAATTTCTTTCTACTTTTGGTAGGACAAGGTCTCGCTCTTGCTCGGGTAGTTTCGAACTCCTGACCTTGAGCAATCCTCCTGCCTTGGCCTCCCATAGTGCTGGTACTACAGGCGTGAGCCACCGCACTTGGCCTAGAAATATTATTTTTTACAATGTATTTCGCATATGATAGAAAAGTAGCCCAACATGTTTTTCTTTAATATTTTTTCTTTGATATAGAGTATTAAAATCATCTCCTAGAAACTTTACACATAGATTTAAAAAAAGTAGATAGGTGGGAGAATTCTAATTTGTAATTCTATACTCCCAGTCTACCTATTATAAAAACTTTAAGCATTTTCCTGTGCACATTTGAGTTTTCTCACAACTGTATTCATGTTATAGCAAACTGGAACGGGAAATAAACTGAGGAGCTACACGAGATACTGCAAAACAGGCTTAGGTTATGCTGGCGGGCTCAGAGAGGTCTCGCCTCCAAATTTGAGCAAAATGGTGTCTGAGCATGGTGGCTTTTATACCTTACAGAAGCAAATGGTTACCAAGTCTGCTCAAGCTCATGGTCTAGTCACGTGTTACTCTATAGTTGCCTAGTCATGCTAGTTTGCAGTTATGCTCTAATTAGGAAAGGAATGGAAAAATTCTCCCTTTATTTCACATTGTACAAACAATTGCTATGCCAGTTTTATCACTTGATTCTGTACAATATGTATCACTTGATTCTTCATTATTGCCGTATGTAGTTTTTAGAGCTAGTATGTTTATCAGCATATTAATAGTTTATCATTGTGTATATTTCTTCTAGTATACTTAGTAGTCCTGTGTCATTGCTATTTAGGTTATTTCCATTTTTCCTACTATAAGTGATGTTGCAGTGGGCATTTTATGCATCTGACTAGCTTTTCCAATTTAGCATTTTTTCTTTTTCTTTTTTCTTTTTTGAGACAGGGTCTTGCTCTATTGTCCAGGGCTAGAATGCAGTGGCATCATCAGAATCACTGTGCAACCTCAAACTCCTGGGCTCAAGCAATCCTCCTGCCTCAGCTCCTAAGTAGCGGGACTACAGGCATGTGCCACCATGCCTGGCTAATTTTCTCTTTTTTTAGAGACGGACTTTTGCTATTATTCAGGCTGGTCTCGAACTCTGGCCTCAAGAGATCTTCCGCCTTGGCCTCCAAACAGCACATAGCCCACTTCATAGGCGTGAGCTACCAGATGCAGCCAGGATTATTTTCTTATAATAAATATCTGGTGTAGATATAAGAGTTCAGAGTATCTCAGGACTTTTTGGTCTTTATAATGTATATTCGGCGATACAATTTATAAGTCTATAATTGGGAGACATGGCAATTTATAAGGTAATTGCTGCTTTGAGAGGTAGGAAAATTTTAGTTGATCTTTCAGCCACCAGATATTTATTGTCTAAAAAGCCACTAAAGCAATTAAAATCCTGAATTAACTTATAAAATTCCATTCAATTTCATTTGAAATCCCAACAGGACATTTCCTGGAACTTGACAAGGTGACTATAAAATATTTATGGTAGAGCAATGGCCTAGGGTTATCTATGGCAGTTTTGAAGAGTGAGGTGGGGGAATCTACCCTACCACACAGTAAGACTTGGTGTGGATTTCTAGTCAATAAAGACAACATTATATTGGCTTAGAGAAAGATAACTAGAACAACAAAACAGAGTAGAGGGCCAGAAATAAACCTATGTGAATATGAAACTTGATATTTGGTAGTGGAGGAATTACAAATCAGTGAAGAAAGGGTTAACTCTTTAATAAATGGTTCTTGGATAATGGGTTATCTGTATAAAAAAACCTTTCCTCCACTATACACAGAAATAAATTCTAGGTAAAGATATACTTGAAGATCAAAATATTTTAACTTTTAGAAGAGAAAATAAGAGGCTGTCTTTATGATGTTGAGGTGGTAAGAATTCCTTAAAAATAAACAAAAATTACAAATCATAATAGAAAATACTAGTAAGTGTGACTATATTAAAATTTAAAACTTCTGTTGAAAAACAACATTATAAGCAATGTGAAAAGACAGGATAGAATGTGACACACATAACTGACAAATCATTGAAAATAAGACAAATCAACAGAAAAACAGGCAAAGGATAGTAGTTGGTAATTTACAGATGAGGAAACCTGACTGGCCAATAAATAGGTGAAGATGCTCATCTTACTTGTAATCATGGAAAGGACCATTAAAGTATCAATGAGATATCACTTTATGTGCTTCATATTGGCAAAAATTGTTTAAGTCTGACAATATCAAATTTGTATAAGGTTGGAGAGCAGTGGGAACTCTCATGCACTGGGTAAATTGGTACCACCACTTTGGAGAACAGTTTAGCAAAATGAAACGTTGAAGGTGTGCATACCCTTCAACTGTGAAATCCGTTTCTAGGCAATTTCCTAGAGCCATCCTTGAACATGTGCATGAAGAATCATGTTTAGTAAATCCTCACTTAACATCGTTCTTAGAAACTGCCTTCAAGTGAAACAATGTGCAGTAAGTCCTTGAATAATACCATTTTGTTATAAGGTTGATGAGGGGAAAAATTGGTTTCATTATACATCATTTTGCATAAAGTTGCAGTTTCCAAGAACCTATTGATGATAGGTGAGGACTTACTATACACAAAGATGTCTATTGCAATATTGTTTAAAATGGTGTAAAATAGAAAAAAAACAAATGGGCATCATTGGGGGACTGGGAAAATAAGTTGTGCTTTATATTTCCTACAATAGCATAAAATAATGGGTTCAAATAAATAGAGTTATATGGATCAGTGTGGCTAAATCTCAGAAACATTTTATTGAGTGGAATAAGCAAATATTAAAAAGATATAATTTACTTAAAGTTTGAAAACATGTAAAACAATACTATGTATGGATACACACATATGCAGTTATAATCTAAAAACATGCCTGGAGATGACAAACACCAAATTCATGATAGTAGTCATCTCAGGAGAGGAGTAGGGAAGAGAATGAATAATA